TGCCCTTTTTTACTGCATCTTCCATGACATCATGATTTCTGCTCTCTTTTTGCTATGGACTTTACTTTATGGCTGTACAAACCTGTGACATTACTCACAGCATTTATTGTTCTATCCCTTTCTTTTCCTTTTTTTGACAATCTTATCCTGTACTACCTACGCAGGATTTGTCAGCGTACATTCCTTCTTCCATGTTCTTTCTCATTCTTTTTGCATAGCTATACTGTGCATAGCCTATTTTTCTTTCACTATATAAACCCCTGTATTTTACCTTGTAAAAAAAACAAGAATTCGATTCCAGACTTCTTCTCTAATCTTAAGTCCACTTCTTACTGCTACTTGTGATCCAGTGTGGTCACAACACTTCCCACTGCTACCACTGTTAATTGCTGTCATTGTCACTTCCCACTTTTGAAGTCATTGTTATCCCTTTCAATTAGAGTCCTTCTGAGCACTACAGTTTGTGCGTCAGGAGCGAGCCTGCTATCACTGGGAACCTCATCACCTTGTCATCCTCGTCGTTCTCAAACCTACCTTGTGCTACAATTAGCAAGGCAGTGCTCATCTATACTCGTCACTAAGCCCCTATCTTCTATAAATTCAACTATCCCTCCTCCTCAAAACCCACACCCATACATCTCTGGGTTTTACTTTGAAGGATCTTCATACATACCACCCCACGAACAACCAGAGCACCCACTGTTCTAGGAGGCAAAGCCCATAAACAAGTTCCGTGGAATCTGGGAGGATTGTGTGTTAGTTTGTTTTTGTGTGTGGTTTTCTAACAACAGTTCTCATCATCGACAACGCTGGTGCAGCGGTAGTATCATAAATATTACAGTTACAATGCTTCATACAAGTACATATTTCTGATAACAATTCTTGAAATCTATTTACAAATTGGGGAGCCATCCCTGTCTTTCCTTTATTGCTCGTGCAACCCCCCGGAGCAGGGGCCACCTTGTTGTGGTTTACTTCATTGTTCATAGGAGCGAAGGCACCCAAGTGACCTAAGCTCCGAACTTTTTCCCTGAGCTTTCATTTTATTGACCTGTTGGTCATAGAAGAAAGCTCGGATTTCGTCGTACGAACGATCGGCCAAAGAATGAAGCCGATTGTCCGGTTTCTTGGTTTCTAATTGGCGCGCCTGGCGCCCTTGGTTATTTTTTGTTGGGCGGCCTGCGCCCCGTTTCTGCAATCTCGGGACATGTGTCCCTCTTGGCCACAGTTGTAACAGTTGCCCTTGAATCTGCGCATCTGTCCGCCTTGGACCACACCGATATCCATAGGAGCACCCTGTCCTGGCTGCAGCCCAAACGGCTTGAACCCGTGAGAGTGATTATGATGGTTTGATGACCCACGGCGCCTCTGGGATGTGTTGTTTTTGGTGGTGGACCCACTTTG